TTTTTTTTTGTCATGTTTTCCCGTTAAAATATCTAAATATTCTCAAACCAAGATGAATTTACTTGAAGCAACACTGCATAAGATATTAAGTGTATTTCATCTTACTGCACTTACAGATTTTGTCCCTTGTTTAATTTGTTTATACTTAAAACAAGTGTCATTGTTTATTTAAAAAATAAAACTAACCGCCGACGAACACATATTCAGGCCAGTCTATAAATTCAAGTCTTAATAAATTGCAGTGTTTCTTCTAAAGTGAATTTGTCTTTTTTCAAGGATATTCAGTGTTTTAAATTTGAAAAAAAGAGAAAAAAAAACTAAGACTAGTTAAAACTGATAGAATAGAAGTCTCCGATAGATAAAAGTCCCAGACTTTTTTCCCCCTAAAAAAAGTGTCACAATAAAGAAAAAAGATCTGTTAATTTATTATCATTTATTAACATTATAATTTATTTTATTTTATTTTTTATTTTTTTTACACCGTGTTATCAAGTAATTATATCACACTAGTCTAATTGTTAACATGTTTAGGTGCTGCTATATATTTTAAAAAGTGTTTTGAGGTTTATAGTGGTGGAATATCTTGCCCCATAGAATTGCATTGAAAGTGCATTTAAGATTTGTACGATTAAGATTTTGATTCTTTTTCCAGCTATTTGGATCAAAAGTGTTTCTAGTGCCATTGCAAGTAGTTGGGAAGTTGTGACATTTCCTCTTTCTGCCATGTGTTTAGCTGGCAGTCTGGAAATATGTTTAGAGACCCCAGGCTTAAGTGTCCAGCCTATGCTGCGGTTAGTTAGCATAAAATTGCAATCACGCACTTAGTCTGTGCCTCACTACAGGTTATGGACTGTTTCATGCACATAGACACACATGCTTGGTGTATATTCCTGTACTTCTGGACCACTGTTCTCCTCTGGGTGTGGACTTTCAATTAGCACAGCAGACCAACTGAAGGTACAATAACTCCATTCAGGAGCAGTGGGATGTTTGCCATGCTTGTCTAATAACACAATGCACAAAAAAAACAGACTACAGGTGCCAGCCTGAGCCGCACAGCTTTCGAGACTTTGACAAGTAAATTGTTGTCAAATTGAAGTTATAACTTCATTGACATAAAGCTGTCCTGACTAGGCAACCACAAAGATTTGGAAACACAAACAGTACTTGTGTGTTTCCAGTCATTATGTAACGTGTTGAAATGAAGGACATAGACAAAAATGTTCCAAAGTGTGCTCCGTTACAAATCTTGGAACAGACACCATGTTTTTGCTAGGGGAATGGCAGTCATTTCCTTCTTTCAGTAATATGAAACTGGTGTGTAATTTTTATTTCTCTGAGTAGCCACCTCTCTAGTTAAATTCCCAGACTAAATTTGCTAGTTATTATATAATACATCAAAACGGCCATGTCTAGACCTTCTGTTGTTATTTGTTTTATGTTTTGTTTGGGTTTGGTTTGTTTTTTGTGTTTTGCTTTGTTTTTTTTGGTGGGTTTTTTTTGTTGTTGTTTTTGTTTGTTTGTTTTTTGAGGGTGTTGGTTTTTGTTTTGTTTTTATTTAGGCAAGCTTTAAAGGTGAAGTAGTAGTTTGTTGTGTTTTTAATTTTAAAGGTGAAGACTTACTTTAGTTGTTTGTTTGTTTGTTTGTTTGCTTGCTTGCTTATCTTCTATGGCTCAGTCAAGCTTTCAACATTCTCTGCACATACTTTACTTACTTACTTTTGTAAATGCTGAATTATTATTTTTTGTATATACTGAAATACTTCGGTTCATAGGTCGTCCCACACGGAATGAGCTGTGGACATGAATGATACCACTCCATTTGTGTTGCTAGCAGTTTAAAAATTGCCCACATAACCTTTTAAATGCTGTTGCTTATATTATGAAAGACTTCAATACAATTTTCCTTTTCACTCTTTGAAAGATCATGTCAGGGCATGATATGGGGATTTAGTTTACCTATAGGTTTATTAAGAACATTTAATTCCTGAGTCAATGCATCAGTCTCTGGAAAAACAGGTCCAGTCGTCCCACAGTTGCAGGGGTGGTGATGAATCATTCGGTGAATATGTGAGGTTTGGCACTCTCGCCCCCTCGACTTGGCTGACGGTCGTCCATGTTGGGAAGTGATCATCCCAAACAGTTTGTTCTGCTCTTCCTGCCAGGAAGCAATGCACTGAGCAATAACACAGGAGCAATAAACCTCAAAATGCTCTGTAGCCAGCTTATCCAGTCAACCTGTCAAAACACTCTGCCATCTTGATTAAATCTAATGGCCTTGTTGAGGAAGCCATTGGCAACATAGAGAACCAGCCGTAAAGAGGCTGAAGTGATTAGTTTAGCTGTCTACATACAGTATGTGTTTTTCACACTGTGTGTGTACGTTTAACATTACTTGAGTAAATCCTACTCTAAATGTTAGAATATTTTGATAGATTTTCTAATTTTCTTTTTGGTTTTCTTTGTGTTTTTGTATTGCAGATGATTGCAAAGGAAAGCGACAAAGGAAAATCTTGTATAAAACTCAAAACTACTTAAATCTTTATGCTGCAGATGGTCTCAGAACACTCTGTATCGCCAAAAAGGTAACACTAACTCTCAGTAACAATTAGATATTTAAATTTTTTTTAGGGGTGACAATTTAATAAGTACATTTAGATGTATTAATAACAATTAATTATATACAAAACATTGATGTGTGACTATATTGAATTTCAATAAATAGTTAAATGGGCAACACATCCTGTGTGTTATAATATATAATATAATATACACTTACAATTACATTAATTTGGGTTTTATATACACACATATTCTTCTATCTCTTTAGTCTTTAATCAGTTGACAGCCCTAAATTTTATTTTGTCATTTACATTTTTCGTTAAACTTTACTGGATAAAAACAAAGTGTTTGCATTGAAAATGTAAAGGTGTTTTTGTACCGATGGTTTACAAGTCTAGATTTTTTTTCTCAGAGTGCTGTGTGACAGATCTCTCACGCTTTCTCACTCTCTGTCCACCTTTCTCTCATCTCTCTTTCTCTGTCCATATCTCATGGATAGTAATATATGCTCTCACTCTCTTCTCTGACTTGTTAACTCTGTGTCTTGAGTTCCTTGTGGGAGTCTGGTTGCCATATGATGTGAGATGTTGTTTTTGTTTTGTTTTTTCCCGTAATTTTTCAACAAACTTTCATATGCTCCCATGAACCTATTGAAGCAGATTTCAGCTGTCATTGACAATCAGATTTTTAACCAACAAATAGCATTACTTTTTTCCCCTTTTTCTCACTAAAGCCCAGCTATGATCTAACACTTCTTATATATTTTAATAAAAGTATGAATTTTAGTTTTTCTTCTTTTTGGCATGTTTCATTACCACTGTTGCTAAAAGTCACCTTAACAGAAGGGAAGCCTTGAACAGCTTGCATACAGTTATTTTTCACACGGTTAAGTGTGAATTCATACATAAATGGAGCTGTTTAAAGTTTAACAAGCCTCTTTTTGTGTTAGTTTTATTTTCTCCACCTGTTTGTTTTTTTAAGCCAGCAACCAGAATACCTTATTGTGTTCTTCTCTCTTTTTTTCTTTTTTCACACATCTCTTTGAAGCTATAAAAACTTTTTTAAACAGTATTACAGTGTGACAACCACTGCTTTATCAAAGCCCATTTATTGCAAATAATATTTATTGAACTCCTTGAGCTGATGTTACACCTCTTTCAGTGATGTGATTGTATTTGTTTGGTCCAGGTTCTCAGTAAGGAAGAGTATGCAAGTTGGCTACAACGCCACCTGGAAGCTGAGACAGCCATACAGAGGAGGGAGGAGCTGCTATTTGAGTCTGCATTACGACTAGAGACCAATCTCCAACTTCTGGGTAATAATAGTTCCTAAAGCACACTTAGTCCATTAAGTACTAAGTTACACCTGGTGTTAAAGCGATAGTTAACCCTCAAGTTTCAAACCTATATGAGTTTCTTTCTTCTGCTGAACACAAAAGAAGATACTTTGAAGTATGTAAGTAACCAAACAGTTGCTGGTCCCCATTGACTTTCATAGTATTTTTTTTTCCATACTATGGACTTCAGTGGCTACCTGCAGCTTTTTGGTTACCAACATTCTTCAAAATGTCTTCTTTTGTTTTCAGCAGAAGAAAGTAAGTCATACAGGTTTGGAACAACTTGAAGGAGAGTAAATGATGACAGAATTTTCATTTTTGAGTGAAATATCCCTTTAATATTTCGGGATTCAAAACACAAGTGCTTAGTACCACACACAAGTGGGTACATGCATAAAATCTCTCTGTTTGTCTTTTTAAATAGGAGCAACAGGTATTGAGGACAGACTACAAGATGGGGTTCCCGAGACCATTGCCTCTCTGAGGAAAGCGGGCCTTCAGATCTGGGTGCTGACAGGAGATAAACAAGAGACTGCCATCAACATTGCCTATGCCTGCAAACTACTGGACCCAGAGGAGGAGATGATCACTCTTAATGCTGACTCACAGGTACACCCAGCATGCACTGCTGCAGTCTCTCCTCATGGGCTCCACTCTTTCTCCTCCCTTCCTTCTCCCTCTGAATGCTAACTGAGTGAGGCTCGGCCTACGTCTAATGACTGTTTTGATAAACAATTGATCTGTTGATTACTTCTGCAGTTAATCATTAATTGGAAAAAAAATTGAAATGTTTGAAAGAATTTATTTGCTGAAATGTCTCCGAATTCCCAACACTACATGTGTTTTACATATGCCTTATTAAAAAAATAACTATTATTCTCAGGCTGCCCACTCCAGCTGACCACTTGCCTACAACTACAGAGTTTGGAAAATTTTTAATATCAGTTCTCACAAGAGGTTGAAAGCCTTTTTATAATTCTATTATATCTTTGGAGTAGATTATGTTTGATCTTGTTTATTTATTCTCTGATTTGATTTTTTTGTTCTTGTTTTGCTTTTTGCTACCAGGAATGACAGAAATGTCAGAAGGTATTGCCCATGATTTGTAGGCCTTATATTTCCAGTTGAAAACACAAACTGTAGTTCCATTTCTCCAACTATTGTACCTTTGTTTTTGTTTTTTTCCCTCACTCATCTACCATATGATTTTTTTTCCACTATGAGCTTTTTAGTCTCCCAAGGGCTGATTACTTATTTTTTTTTTTATATGATTATATTATATTTAGTAGATATTATTATTATTATTATTATTATTATATTTATTATTAATTGATCTCAACACTTTTCCTTTGTTATTTGTTTGTCAAATTTCTACTGTGTGAAAGCAGCTAAGCACAGGCACATAATAAATTATTTTTAAAAATTGTTGATTGATTTTCAAGTTCTAATTAAGTAAATATTGATATCAATTAATATTAATTGTTGTAGCATGTATTATTTACTGTCTTTAATTTAAAGTCATCATGAAATCAAAATTGACCCTTTTTTATTTATAGAATATCTCAGCATTTATTATAAATAAAAATAAAAAAATATTTGTTTTTATTTTTAGATTTATGTGCCCTTGTAATCTTTAATCATAACTTTAAATAAAGTGATATCACATATGTTGCCTTTATATCAGCCAACCTGCTCTCTAAGATAACAGCATCAGCCATCAAATAGTCCTTATAAGGCCAGCAAAAATGAAAAAATGTAATAAGGTAATTTATTTAGACCTAAAGGGCCAAAAGTGTTTATAGTTGAAAAAACACCCATATAACAAACTATTTGCGTATTCCCCTGCATGACATTGTGCACTATTAGACTGTAGGTGTTTCCCCATAGAACAGCTGGACTGACTTGAATGAGCTCTCATGATGTTTCATTTTGTCTCCTTGGAGAACACGTGAAGCATCCACATGAGTTTTGTTTTGAAAAACCACACTGGCAAAGAGCTGTCATACAGGAATGTCTTAATCACTGACTCGCTGTATTAGTCAGAACATTTTCCTTGCTTAAAGGGATAGTTCACCCAACAATAAAACTTGTCATTTAGTCGCCCTCATGTCATTACAAAGCTGTATGACTTTATTTCTTCTGTGGAACAAAAGAAGATATTTTGAAGAATGTTGGGAACCAAGCGGTTTGGATTACTATTGAACAAAAAATAAGATATTTTGAAAATCTCAGTCTCAGTGATTTTTATGTTTCTCTGAAGAAAGCAAGTCAGAGGTTTGGAATCACATGAAGGTGACTAAATTATAACAAAATTGTTATTTTTGGGTGGAGTATTCCTTGTATAAAAGTGATTTGGTACAGTAAATTTGTTATATAATTTATACCATAATTGTGATCTGTTTTGTTGCATTTCTGAGCTGAGTCAACTTTTTTTTTTGTTAAATTTCTCTGTCAGATGTTGTCTAACCCTCATGAGATCTTTGTGTCCTTTTACGAACGTCCTGAGGTATTTTTTTTTATTTTTTTTTTTTATATATGTGAACTCTTTCTAGGAGGCCTGTGCTGTATTGCTCGAGAACAGTCTGCACTACATCCAGGCCAAGTTCCTTTGCAATGCTCGACCAGATCCTCAAGCAGCTAGAGACTATTCTGGCATCCACTTCTCTTCTCCAGTGTGTTCCTCGGCCTCCTCTGGCCACTCCAGCCCCTTCCTGGTGCACCGGCTAGGGCTGGTGATCGACGGCCGGACCTTGGCCTACGCACTGGACAAGAGTTTGGAGGACAAGTTCCTTGCTGTGGCTCGAAGTTGCAGGTCCGTTCTATGCTGTCGCTCAACGCCCCTGCAGAAGAGCATGGTGGTCAAGTTAGTGCGTAACAAGCTCAAGGTCATGACGTTGGCAATAGGTAAGTGGTGGATTTTTTTGGTTGTTTTTTGATTTATCTCTTACAGTGTCTATTGCAAATGCTTATTCTCAAGTGGGTTTTTAACAGTTTAGTTTAGTTGAATTTGTTGCATGAAAAAAGTTTTTAAAGCCCAATCTGCAAGCCAATCCCCTAGTGGCCATAAACATCACACAACTGCAAGACAATACACACAAATGAACTTCACTGTGTTCCACGGTACTAATGCAGGTTACTCTGTTTGAAAGATTAGCTCGTTCAATATTGAAGATGGAATCATTTACTCACCCTCACGTTGTTCCAAGCCCAGAAAAGTTTTTGCTTAAAATCTTCAAATATGCCTGAGTTGTCCTTGACTGGTAGCAATGGTTTTTAAAACGATTCACAAAACTCATCTGAATGATTCCTTTCTGAATCTAGCACTGGAGCTCAGCTGAATTGGAAGATTATCAGTGCATAATAATGTACATAAAGTCGATTGGACCACTTTTATGAAACGTTTGCATAGGGCTGGGCGATATAGCTAAAAAATATATCAACGATATATGTTTCATATCGTTCGGTATCGATAATTATTGACATTTTTTATAACCTTTTTTAAAACGGAGCAATAGAAAAAAATGTTTAATGTAACCACTGTATTTTTAATTTGCCCACTTTATTAAAACAAACAACAAATATATATATATATATATATTTTTTTTTTTAATAGTCAAACACAAAATAATTTGAACAAATATCTCCTTTATTATGTTTTATATGCGGATTAAATAAGTCTTAAGGAAACTTTTGACTTGTTTCCTGAGGCAACAGGAGGGCGCAATGAGCAAAATAATGAAGCGCATTAAACTGTCAATTCAAATAACTGTCAATAAAAATGTGCATAACGTCTAAATTAACATATAGAAATCAAATATAATTTTGTAAACTGCATAAACAATTATGAACAAAACAGCATCATGTGTTTATGCATTGCTTAGCCTAAAACAAAGAGCCAAATCGCAGATCACACAGATTGCATTGAAAAACATATGAGACGCAGTGAAATGAAATAAACCTTTACAAATTCGTGTCGCGTTTTCTAAACGTTAAAACTGTTTTAACTTTGCATGACTTTCTTTGCATCTCTTGCATGAGACGCGAGTGCAGCAGTCATATTTGTCCGTCTAAAAATGTGCTGAATATGCGTTCTGTGTGAATGGCTTGGTTTCGGTTTTAACCTAATCAAGACCTTCTATGCATTGAGCTTCTATATTTCTCTAATATTTTGAACGAATAACACCGCAGCGGTGCGTCTTTTGGGCTAGACTAACAAAACATTAAAATGCAACGTCACTTACATCATCATCACCGCATCTCGCGCACCACTGATGACGATCCCTGACTCACTCCTAACATACGATTGTGCCATTTTTTGCATTCAAATGCAAATGTTTATTTTAAATTCGACTAATATTAATTTTTTTTTATTCACAATCTCCTCATCACAGGCAGGCACAGCACTCAATTCAGCATTTGTTCGTGTTTGTGTGAGCTGTCTGCGTCACTCATAGTACATGCCTATATTGTGCGCTATATCAAACATTTTTTATATCGTTATCGATGAAGGTGTACCGTCCATAAATATCGATACCGTTTTATCACCCAGGCCTACGTTTGCATCCTTTTTGAAGCTTGAAAGCTTCAGTCTCCCTTCACTCTAATTGCATGGAAAAGTATGACCAGTATAAAATATGTCCTCAAATGGGTTTGAGAAGACATGAGGGTGAAAAAATGTTGACTGAATTTTCATTTTTGCTTGAACTGTCCCTTTAAACAATAACTGGTTATTTTATTTAATAGAAGCACAAAATGGGTAGCATTGATGTTCTTTTTTTGTTTTGTTTGTTTCTCATTCTTTTTGCTTGGCAAGTCAGATTTGAAGATTAATGGTCCCAGGTGTTGCCAAGTAAACATTTCAGTGGTGACTGGACAGCACGTGTCTGTCCTTTCCTCAGCGCAGAATGCCACATTTACAAGCCTACGCAGCACTCTAGCTAGTTATCCAGATGGCTTTAGGGAGAGCGAGAGAGATGCAAGGTGCATCAAGACTGAGCCACCTGCCTGCAGAAAGAGCAGGTTACCTCAGGTCATTTCCCCCTGCCTTAATAAAGAATTTGTAATTCATTTATGCCTCATGCTTAAAACATTAACACTGTCATTTTGGATGGGAATGAGAGAGGGAGTGCTCAAACGACCCTCGGCGGTGCTGTAAATAAACTCCTTTGCCTTAAAATTGACAGACTTCATTACAGAAGGAATCAGAGCCTTGTCTTCACTGCATGACTCTAATGAACGGACATTTATGGTGTACAGACACGTTCGCAGCAGATGTTACCGGTTCTCATGCTAAGCATATTTGCTTTTTTGGCGTACTTCAAATAAAGGTGGTCTTGTTGAATTTGGCTGCCACGTTTGTTTGTTTCAATTTGGACAAAGGCGTCTGACGGTCTCAGCGGGCTATTACTTTTCTGTATACTTCAAAGCTTTTTAGCTGGAAATTTAGCTTTTGATGATAGCTTGGGGTCAGGTCAGCACTACGCCTTTTGCCTCAGGCAATAGAGGATGATTTTATAAAACTTCTCAAGGCAGATTCAAAGGTCCAAGATAAACATCTTTGAACACATAGTACGTGTTATCTGAAGTACACTCTCGCCATACAGAAGTTTCAGACAGCAGGCTGTCAATTTACAGTTCATAATAATCATGTAATTGTGTTGTCATTTTTTTTTCTTTCAAAATGGCCACACCTTTTATTCTCATGTTTAAAGGGGTGGTCAGACTAGATTTTAATTATTTGTAAAAAAAAATAAAATAAAAAAAATGCAATATTATTTTGTACCTATTTTATTTTTATTATTTGATTTATTTCATTTTATTTTATTTAGCTCTAACTCCTCCAGGAGCTCTTCTGTAGTGATATCCACCAAATTTGCCATAGTCCTTCAGTCTGGTTTAGCTCTGGGTGTTATTTAATGTCTAACTGGACTAGGTTTTCCTGTGATCAAATATTCTGAAATATTATGTCTTTGTTCTGACTTGGTGTACTTATTTCTTCTCTTTGGATTTTGGCCTTTCATGTAGCAGACAATCAAAAATATTCTAGTGTTAGGAATGTTTAAAGTCTGTTTCATAATGTTCATGATTTCACACTCAAAAAACCTTGCTTACTTTCGTATATAACCATTAAATCTTTAACTTTTAAAATGGGGCTTAAAGCCACCATTTTTGTCTTTGTACCCTTTTCTGGTTGAAGTTTGTGTTTAATAGTTTAACAATGTGCCTCATTTAGTTTAAAACTTCTATTATATAGAACAGGATGAAACGAAGCCAAAATATTTTATTTTCAGTCAAGACATCCTTTGCTAGTTAAACATTGCTATACAAATTTGCAGCTCATACTTCACTAAACTTGAACTGATGAATGGAATGCAAAATTTAGCATGACCGCCCCCTGTTTGGGTTCCTGTGTGATTTGACTTAGTAAGCTTTTTTTGAGACTATTTAGGTGTGTAAAAGGTGACATTGATGTAAAGTCATGTCACCCTGCTAATGCACTGTCATTCCAGTTAATTTCAGAAACTGCAGCTTGTTTCTGGGCTCTTTTGTGTTTAATTGATGTTGTTTATTTTTGCCAGCAGAGCATTTTGCTGCTGATGCGATGTTTGCATTAATGCAGGCTGACATTGTGCAAAGTGAAATGGAACTGATAACTCACTCCCCTCTTTTGGTCTCTCTTTTTCTCATTCATCCTAGGTGACGGAGCTAATGATGTTAGTATGATCCAAGTGGCTGATGTAGGAGTGGGAATCTCCGGACAGGAGGGCATGCAGGTAAGGAGAAACAAACGATCAAGGGGAAGTAATGTTGACATAGGTGTTTGAAAGAGGATGGTGGAGATGATTGTATTCTGGATAAATCTAGAGCCATGCATTGTAGCCACACTTTACTCCCTGCCTTAAGTGTAGAGTACAAGAGGAATGAACATTGTAAAGCAGGATTGCAGAGTTAATGCACCACATTTCTGGATATACATAATTCATGTTTTATGAAGATGTTTTGGCCAAGATACAGAGACAGCCTGTACTCAGACAGTTAATAAATGATACCTTACACCAGTGGTTCTCAACTGCTGGTTCATGACCCAATTATGAGTTGCAGTCTCTTCTGATAGGGTCAGCAACAGGGAAAACAACTCTAAATACAAATAATTAAATTCTGTTAACAGTATTTTTGAGTATACTGTAGTTACATATTTTTATGTTTTGTTCTACAGCATAAATTACACTGTTTGAGCATTAATATGAACTTATAAGCCACTGTTTTTTTTCTTTGTTTATATAATTTTTTCATTATTATTATTATTATTATTATAAATAACTGCTACAATAATGTGATTATATGTGCTTGACAAATCAGAGCTGTAGAGCCATGATATGATGGCAAACTACCAGGGCTGGGTAAAAAATATCGATATCTCGATATTAATCGATTCTCGTTTTTACGGAACGATATTGATTCTTAAATCCCAAGAATCTATTAGTCTAGCCTGTTTTCAGTTAATGGACGGAACATTGAAGGGCACTTCCCATCCAATATATCGAAATAAGCATTGTGTATGCAAATTCAAATTTGCGTATACATACGTTGACCGGCAGATAGGTTAGCCTATTGTAATGTTCTGACTGAATAATCTGATTGGTCAAATATTTTATGGTCCTACGCCTTACACAGATAATATACATATAAATACATTTAGACCACTTAACTTAGTGATTGTTATCGGGATGTGAAGAGACTTTCAACCAACATAACAAAAAATGTTTTTGAATCAAATCGCCTACACTGTCTTGAATTATGAATTTGTATATTTGGTTTAATGGGTTTTTTTTTTTTTTGCACAAAAAAGTTTTAATGCTTTAAACTTCATTCCTGTAATCATATATTTTAGCCATTATAAAAAAATATTCTGCTCAATCCTGCAGTCAAATAGCGTATTCCAGAGAGCCGTGTAATAATTCATCCAGTTTAACAGGTTGAAGTTTCATGATGTGAATAGTTTATAGCTAGAAGCTCTTAAATGTTGTTGTCTGTTCTTGATATGTTCTTTGATTAATTGGGGAGGTCCTAGAAATATCTTAAATCCCAAGAATCAATTAGTCTAGCCTGTTTTCAGTTAATGGACAGAACATTGAAGGGCACTTCCCATCCAATATATCGCAATAAGCATTGTGCTTTGGTACTTTTAATATGAAACAAAGTCTCAGATTTCAAATTCTGTCCATTGTATTGCAGTATTCAAACAATAAATGCCATTTTGGTGCTGTTTAATGTGGAGTGACAGATCGCTGTAGCGCCTCAGTTCAACAGACGCTGCAGCGCAAGGCGCACGTGAACTGATCATCTCCTCAACATTAATGCTAGTTTCAGCACAAAATAAACATGACTAAACATCCGAAGTTAAGTTAAAATAAAGAGTACAACTTTACAATCCGTATCCTGTCTCATGTAATCGCTCAATCAGTGTTTCCTCCACGCAAAGATGTCAATATAACGGCTTGTAAACAAACAATGTCACGTAACGTCACATTTACCTCAGAAAAACATATTTGGTGAGCATAAACTCGATAGTCAGCCAGAAAAATAAACTGTAGAGAGGGGCATTTTTCTAAATATGTGCACCATATAACATTCATTATAAATTTGACTGTTCTTCCATTTTTTATTTATGTTTGAATAAATCCAAGTTTTTATGACAGCCCCCATTGTTTATATTTAAAAAAAACAAAAAACTAATTGAAGTAGAAATATTATGTAATTGTAACTATTTTAAAAACTTCATTGTGTAATTTTAACAAATCAGTCAATTTTAACCTTCAGTATTATAGTAATGTAGTACCAACTGACTCTCATGTATATT